GTGGTAACTTTGCTGTGAAACTACCAATTACTGAACACTGTTGTGTGTCAGGGCCTGTTTTAGTTCTTTGCATGAATTAACTTACTTGATCCTCTACACATGTATGAGATGGGCCTATTATCTCCATTTTACAGACGAGAAAATAAGCACAGAGGCAGAGTAACCTGAGATCCCATAGCGGGAAGAGCAGCAAGGGTTCTAATTCAGTGGCTACAGAACCCAGAGTCCGCCCTAACCACAGCGCTAAGTACGCTAATATAGTATCTCACTGAACACTCCACCCACAGCCAGTGAGGCAGTAACTGTGTTCATTTTACAGATGAAGAAACTGAAGAGCAGAAACATGCTCGAGGTCACATATCTAGTGAACTGCAGGGCTGGCAATAGACTCTAATGCAGCTGTTATAACCTCTCCCGCCTGTGCCTGCCTTCCGTGAGGGGTAGGAGCGACCCAGCGCAGTGAGGAGAGGGAAGCCAAGGATGCAGGGGTGTTTGATTGTCCCCTGTCCCTGCTCGGCCTGGAGGCGCACTGCGGGAGTCACCTGCCGGCCCAGAGCAGCAACAACCTTCTCCCAGGGCAGCTTTCCCGGCGGCGCGCCGCAACCTCCCACCTGATTGGCCATGTTTGGCCACGTGTTCCAACACAGCCTAGGGGGCGGGGCGAGGGGGCAGGACTGCTAACTGCGCCTCCGCCTGATGAGGGCGGCACGTGGATCCGGGTGAGACTGGAGTGCTGGTCACCGCCCGGAAGGAATGGGGAGTTGGTGGCTTGGGACGTCTGACAGAGAAGGTTCGGAGTCACCATCGGAAGGGAGGGGAGAAGAGTCCGACTAGGACAGTAGGACTTGGAAGAGTGGGGGCCCAGCTGAGATAGGGAGGTACAAACCCCTTGGGACACAGACAGATCAGATGGCCAAGGGGTAGTGGGGAGGGCCCTGTGTGCCAGGGAACAGAAGGGAGCCAGGGCTGAGAGCAAGCCAGGAGCCTAGAGGCTCGGCCTCATGGGAGGGCAGCGTCTGTTTTGGAGCCTGTTGGAGATGTTTCCCTGGCGGGGGACCCAAACATTCAGACCCATGTCAGGAGAAAGGAGAGGGACTTATTCTAGGACTCCAGGGTTTCTGGGAGAGCCCAAGGGCAGCGGGACCTGGGGCTGGCCTCTAGAGGGCTCTGGAACCCAGAAGCTTTGCTCATGGAAGGCATCCTTCTCCTGAAGACCAGCTCACCCTGCTGCCCAGGCTCACAAGGTGAGATGACCATCCCAAAGGTCAGGTTCATGTCTTCATGCAGGAGACCCCCTGGGCCGAACCAAAGTCTCCATCCCAATTCTACTTTCTGGAAATTGTCGACTCCATCTGCTTTCACTGGAATCCAGCTTTTTCCTCAGTGGAAAACAGGGCAGTTGACAGTTCCCAAGATTTATTTGTCCAGTCTTCAGCCCTGGAGAGACTACTCTATTAGGTCCCAGGAGAGAGCCCACTGGTTCAGCTGGGCTCAGTACTCAGTGCTGGATCAGTCACTAGAGAATTCAGCAGCCCCCAGCAACCACGTGGGTGGTAGGGAGGAGAGAGAACATTTTGCAGAAGAAGATGGTGGGAAAAAACCCCAGAGATGTCCTGAACCCCAACCCTGCCACAGAGTATCCCCTGCAAGACTCTGCTTCAGTTAAGGCAGTAGATGGAGGGAGTGTTCAGTGACATAGTTGAGGATTCTGGGGGCATGCAGCCCAGCTGGCAGAGCTCTGTAAGGGAAGGAAGCACACAGCAGGGCGAGGGGTGGGGGGTGGTGTTCAGCAAAAGAAAAATACCAGGTGACCTTCAGGGGGATGTCAACCCCAAGAGGGCCTTGTCCGTGGCCATTGAAGATGGTCATGCCATCAAGCTCAGAATAGGCAGTGTGAAATGAGAAGCCACCTTTCTGGGGCTGGTTAGGGGACCAGGGGACTTAGCTGCTATTTTGCTGTGTGACCTAGAGCAGTTCCTGACCTTCTCTGGCCAGTTTCCCTGTCTGAAAGAGGAACTGTAGAGTGATCTGAGGCACCAGTGAATGAGAACTCACTTTGAAAAGGCCTTCACCAGTATGACAGAGGGTCCCTGGTCATCACCCTGCTGGCACTGGGGGCAGTGAATGTGCCAACCAAGCCCCAAAGGACCCCAGTACCCCTACTAGCCACTCCCTGCCCGGCTCTACTATCCACAGGGTTTTCCCTGGGAAAGGGCCAGGTGGCTTCATCCACTGAGAGTCAGGAAATTTGTGCTGACCTGGGCATTTCAAGCCCTGTAGCAGGCAGAGGACAGGGAGGCCTGTGACTGCGGCCACCTCCAAACCCCGTGCCTCAGGTCTGACAGAGACCTTGGCCTTGGGGGCTAAAGGCATAGCCACGGGGCCTCCCCTCTCCCCAAGGATTCCTGGCTTACCCTGGGTTCCCTGTGGCCTGTCAATCCAGGCCCTCTGTGCCAGTACCACCCAGCTCACTGGGGGTGGGCAACAGGCTGACTTCAATCTCTGTTGCAGTGTGGATGTTCCCTGGCAGCCCCGGGCCTCGGTCTCCACACCACCTCTCTTCCCCAGCACTGCCCCTGGCTGCTGACTTCTTAGCATAAACCAGTAGCAGCTCCAGGCACTAGAACTTGTTATATTGTCTGTCGCTGGCTGCACTTACATAAGGTTTCCTGAATTTCATAAGAAGTGCAAATAATGCCTTGTTGGTGGAACACTGGATAAACAGACTTTGTGATTAAAGCCCTACCTGCACTTGGTCTTGGGCACACCTGGTGGTGTTATGACTGACTCGCCCTAACTGGACCCCAGGTAGAGTGAACCTCAGGGGGACCAGGAATCAGGCACCATGCCAGGCACACTGTCTCATGTCATCTTCACATTGCCCTTTGAGATGGGGACTGTTAGTATCCCCATCTTATGGATGAGGAAAAAGGCGCAGAGGAGGCCGACTTGCTCACACTCACTGAGCTGGTGGTCAGTGGTAGAGCTGACTCAAGCCAAGGACTTCTCGGCTCTGAGGCCGCTCTCCTTCCATCTGTGACCCCAGGCCCTGGAACCCAGATGTCCTGACTCCCTGTGTCCCCAGAGCCCACCCAGCCATGCCCCTGCTGCTTCTTCCCCTGTGTTCCCCTCTTCTGAAAGAAGAAGGCAGATCAGGAAATCTATCAGGCTCCAGGCCTGGCAGTGTGCCCCGAGGGGATGAGGGGGCCTCTCCACAGTGTGGCCCCAAATGCCCTCTCCCACCTGCCCCAGATCCTCAGGGGAAGGGGAAGAGCTGTGGGGCCTAATGAGCATCTCTGTGAGGAAAGGGGGTTCTCTCCTCCCACAGCCACTCAGACCCGGCTGCCCCCTCTCCCCATGGTCCTCACTTTTCCACCAGCCCCTGCTCCAGAGTCCTACAGCCTCAGCTTCTCAGCCAGGCTGTCTGCTACCTTGAGGGGAGGGCAGAGGAGCACATTCCAGGGCCTGAGGCCTCCCTGGGGGCAGTGAGGGCTTGGGAGGGACTTGACTGAGTGGGGAGGGGACCTCAGTGGCCACTGTGTACCAGGGATTGGGTGTGCAGGCCTGGCAGAGGCACAGTGATGGGGGTGGGGGAGGGGGGGCTGCTGAGCACCTGCTTCTGGACTGCCCTGGGCCTGCTGAGTCCCAGGCTTTTAGCATGTCTGACCTTCTGGAGCTCAGCTGGCATCTGGGCCAGCTCTGAGCCCACTTCCTGCAGGGAAGCCTGGGCAGGGGGTGGGAGTCTTTGGCTTCTATCCTGATCTGGTGCTTCCCCTAGGACATCACCCCACCCTGGTCTCAGAACTCCATTCTCACAGGGTCCTGCCTGGGACTATGTCTTGACCCAAAGAAGGGGCCTAATGTCTATGAGGTACTTGGAGAGGCTGATGGAACAGCACTCGGGGGCGGGGGGGGGGGGGGGCAAGATGCCTCATTCTTCCACTCTGGACTGTATCGGTAATTAAAAATTTCCTGTATCCCAAAATATTGCTGGGTCACACTCCCTCCATGTGAGGGCTCTCTGGGGCAGGCCTGGGTCTGCAGCCCCCTCTATCTCCAGACCCTCCCCTCTGGCTACCTGCATTGGGGCCCTGTGCCTTGGCCCCCACGCACCTGCTTTACGTTGATTGGTGAGCCCACCCTGTCAAAGAGTGAGTGCCTGGTCCCTCCCAGGGCCACCTAGATACAGTGCAAGGGCAAGGCGGCCTGGGGGCCAGCCTGGGATGGGTCTAGGCTGTCTGCTCTTGGCCCTTGGTAGAGACACCCTGATCCCAACTCATTGATTCCAACAAGCCAGGTAACCCTTCTCCTCACCTCCCAGGTTCAGCCCCACCTTCCCCTCTCCAGGTGGCCTCAGTCTCACCTATTGCTGGTCACAAGGGCATAGTGTGGTCTTCGGGAGCCTGGTCCACACAGCACAGGGAGACCCCTCCTCCAGTCCTGCCCCCAGTTTGATCTGAGTGGGGCAGCCTGGACCACCCAGGTCTGCTCTCACCTCCTGCTGGGGCTGCAGCTGCTCCGCCCCTGCCTGTCTCTGAGTTCTCCCCTCTGCCTCTGGTGGCGCCCACCCTGGACAGGCCTCTGGCTCCTCTTTGGGCCTCAGCTGTAGCCACTTATGGGGACAGCAGGACCCTGTCCCCTTGGCCCCACCCCATTCTGAGCATCATTAGCCCAAACAAGGTCAGTGGGCTACTCGGCTGGGACACAGGTCCAGTTCTAAAGGGCTGTAGAGAGTATGACCCAGGGACAGTAACCCAGTGGGTAAACGGACAAGGGTTACTGGATCACTGAGTCCAGCCAACACCACTCCCAGTGTACAGACAGGACCTGAGCCCAGAGACAACAAGGGGCTTGATTGGGGCCACAGGCCACAATCCCATCTCCATGTTCTTGGGGACCCTGCTTCCTGAGAAGCCCAGGGAGGGCCTCCACAGGCTCTTCTCTGGTCTAGATGTGGGGTAGGTGCCTGGGGCTCCACAAGCAGCACCCTCCCCTACTCATCACCTGGCCCCTCCAACCAACTCACACTTCAGCCTCTGCAGCTGTGTCAGGGTCCTGGGATTAAAGGAGGGGAAAAACAGGGCAGAAAATAGCTGGTTCTCAAGATCCCAAGTCACACCTAACCCACCCAGCAGGAAGCTAGCAGGAAGCAAACTGGGGGCTGTTATAGGGTGAACTGTGTCCTTCCCCTGCAACCCAGGAAAAAAACAAACAAACAAGATGTTTGTGTTCTAACCCCCAGGACCTCAGAATGTGAGCTTATTTGGAGACAGGCTCTTTACAGAGGTGATCAAGTTAAAAGGAGATCATCAGAGTAGGCCCTAATCCAATATAACGGGTGTCCTTATAAAAAGGGGAAATTTGGACACAAAACATTCACACGGGAAGCGCCTAGTGAGCATGAAGGCAGGGATTGGGGTGATGCATCTACAAGCCAAAGGACTTCAAAGACTGGCAGCAGCCACCAGGAGGCGGGGACGAGGCAGGAACAGACCTGGACAGCCCTCAGGAGGAGCCAGCCTGTCCACACCTCGCTCTCAGATACCAGCCTCCAGAACTAGACAGGTGCTATCGTGTCAGCCACCCACTTTGTGGAACTCGGTTATGGCAGCCCCAGCAAACTAATACAGAGGGTGAATGAGATGAAACTGCACGTGACAGCTTGCTGGCCCCAAAGGGACCCTGATTTAGAAGGGAACTTTCACCTCAAAGCAGCCATGCCTGAGGCAGCATGAAGCATGCAATAACAGTAACTAACATTTCATGACCACGTGCCATGTGCCCGCGCAGCACTGAGCCTGCTACAGACTTGTCCAATTTAACCATCACAGCCAGCTAATGGGGGAGGAGAATTGTCACTGTTCTAATTTTTTCCAGATGAGGCTCAGAGAGGTTGAGTAACTTGCCCAAGGTCACGCAGCTAGTATAATGTGGAGACAGGATTTAATCTCAGTACCAGTATTCAGGCTCCTGAGTCCACAGTCTTTTTTCTTTATTAAAATTTATTTTTCAATTACAATTGACATACAACATCATAGTATTATAGCTTCGGGTGTACAACATAGTGATTAGATATCTATATACCTTACGAAATGATCACTTCAGGAAGCCTAGTACTCATCTGACACCATACATAGTTATTGTATGGTGCAAAAGTAATTGCAGTTTAAAAGGTTAAAAAAAAAAGAAAAAACTGCAATTACTTTTGCACCAACCGATACACTATTATAGACTATATTCCCCATGTTGTACTTTACAGCCCTGTGACTGTTTGCTTTGTTTTGTTTTAAAGATTTTTATTGGGGAATTGGGGGATGGGAACAGTGCTGGGGAATTGGGGGAAGGGGAACAGACAAGTTGCTGTCGTTTTTGTTCTTCCGTCGAGTTGTGGAGGACGTTGCTTCACTGGCCCAAGTTGGCACCATCATTACGCTCTTCCCGGGCAAGGCAGATCAGACGCCGGCTTCTAGACGGCCGCTCACTGCGGCTGCTGGCCGCTCACTGCAGCTGCTGGCTACATACGGTAGCCCATGGCAACCCACTGCCACAGGGGCTGCAGCCTACACCGGCACTGGCGACTCACAGCAGCCCAGCTCCAGGTTGAGTTGTTGTTCAGCATCTTAGCTGTGGAGGGCAGTGTCACTGGCCCTCATATGTGGGATCTGAACCGGGGCCCTCTGGCATCCCAAGCCAGTTCTTAACCATCGTGCCACTCAGCCGGCCCCTGTGACTGTTTTTTATAACTGGCAATTTGTACTTCTTAATTCCTTCACCTTTTCCACTCATTCCCCAACCCCCCTCCCATGAGCCCACAGTCTTAACTGCTAATTTTGGGACAGTGAAGACCACAGAATCCTGGGAATGAAGAGAAAGACAGACTGAGGTAGAAACCCAGGGAGTGTCTGGTGGAAGTAGCTTGAGGTTGGGGATGGGACTGGAGGTGGAGCATGCTGGAGACCCTGGGAGCCCCTCGCATCCCTCTGCCAGCCAGACCCTATCCAGCTGCTGCCCCATCTCTCTGAGATCCTCTGCCCTGCTATGAGTTTGGCACATCAGCTGCTCCCTACGGGACCACTGCCCATGACCCAGGGCTGAATTCTAGATCACCCTCATGGACAGGCTCAGGGCCTGGGGGCACCCACTTGCTCACAGAAGGTGAGTCCTGGGCAAGCCTCTCCAGGAACTAGAGAAAGAGAAGTGACCTGGGCAGTCCCTAAGGGGCAAAGGGCTAGAAGGTTCTAGAGTTGGGGCCCAAGTTGGCACTGGTTTGGGGTGTTTGCATAGGGCTCACCAGGCGCCACTCCTTCCAGGGGCCTGAGGTCCCAGCCCTATGTCACGGTGTGCCCTGTGTTCCTGCTGACATTGTCCCCTTGAGTCTGGGGCTGTCTACTTGACTAGAGTGCACAACCCATAAAGAACAGAGGCCCTCCAGACCCCATGGAGACAACCTCCAATCCTCAAGGATCTGGGTTGAGAAACACAAAAACTGAGACTTTTTTCTGTACAAGTGTGCAGTCGCAGATTATCATTGGAACTCGGCTCCCTTGATAAACTAACAGCCTTCTCAGAGCACACGTCTGGACCCGTTTGAGAGAACTGATTTAGACCAACTCCACCTTTTATGAGAACAGCTAAGCACAGCTGCTGAGACCGTGCCCACCCCTTCCAGCCAGATCAATAGGCTGGCTCTCGTGGGGAGTTCTGCAGCAGAGCGTGATGCCATCCTGGGTCCTTCCAACTCTACATCCCTGTGGCTCCAAGCCATCTCCTTGGTGTCTGTTTCTCTGTGTCTCTGGGTGTCTGATGTGCATCTTGGGGGGTGTGTGTGTCCATCTATCTTGTCTGCCTGTGCACATACATTTGCCTGGGAGACTAAGAGAGGACGCTGTCTAGGTGAGGCAGCCACCAAACTGGAGTTGAAGTCAGGTGGACAGGGCCTGGTACACTGAGCGTTGCTCTGGTCCTGTCCCACATTTCACAGTGACCCCTTCATCCACTCCACTTCTCATTTAGTTCAGGGACTGTGTTCAACACCCCCACCTCCATGCCTCTCCTCTCTGGGCCTTTGCATATGCTCTTCCCTCTTGCTAAAATGTCCTTTGTTCCTTCACTCCTGGAGGATGCCTGTTCATCCTTCAGTAAGGTTCAGAGACCCAGGAACCCCTCTGGGGGGAAGGGGGGGCCTTCCTATCTGCTGCCCCCCAGCTTCTATAGTGCCTCTCTCCTCATCAGGCATGTTAAATTATAATTTCCAGCTTGATGATTGGTGGCCCCAAACCATATGCTTTGGGGATGAAGAGTGGCCTGACCCATTTTTGGTTCTCCTGTGCATGAAAAAGGGTCAGACATATAGTTGATACACAGTGAATGCATATTGAACAAATGGACGGGTGATGGAGCATAATGAGGAAGAGGCAGAAGAAGGGAAGGAAGTGGGGAATAAAGCATCCTAAGAAGGGGAGAGACTAATTGGCCTGCAGTAGGAAAAACAGGGCAGTGAAGAAGAGAATGGGGAGGAGAGGGTTGTGAGGAGAGAGGAAGGGGATGGATAGAGAGCCGAAGCCAGGCCTCATTCTGACTCTGGAGTCTCTGCAGTTCCTCCTCTTTAAATTTCAAGGCAACTGTCACCTGGTGCCAGCATGCCTTCCAGTCCTCAGCCACCTTCTCATGAAGCCTGGGATGTGATTCTTCCTCTGTCTCTTCCTGAGGGGTACTGGTGCTTCCTGGACCTGGAGTGTGCTAGTAGAAATGGTGCACTCTGAACACAGCATGGGTGCTACACTGCCCTACCCCACTGTCAATGATTTCTTTCCAAGTTGCTTGGATATCCTTACTATGTCTTGTTGGCTGGGATGGGGCTAGGGCAGAGACACCTCTTCCATGGCTCCCTGCACACACAGAACCCTGTGTCCTGGGCAGGGACCACTCCTCAGCACCCTGACTTGAGCTCAGCAGCTGAGATTATCTCACCTCTCCCATCCTGGCCCTGGGCCAGCAGGAGGGGCTCAGCCAAGTGTAGGGGAGACAGGGTTTGTTGAAGCTGAAAGAATTTCCACATGCTCCCATAAAAGAGCCAGAATGTGACAACTAGGAGTGTTGCTACCTGGGGAAGAAAGTCTGGCTTTGGCCATGTGATTCAAGGTTTGGTGACAGAGGCTGGCCCACCTCCTGCCCACAGGGCCATCTCACCCAGTGTGAGAGCAGGACACCCACCCAAGCCTAGGTTGGGCACTTTGAAGGGTGGACCCAAGCAGCCATTTACCTGACTTCCTGGCCAGGGGCCACCCCCAGCGCTACTATGTAGCACTGACTTCTCTCCAAGCAGCCTGGTGCGCTCTGCCTCCAGGGTCTGCAGGGCCTGTACATGCCCGCCCAACACATCAGACCCCTAGTCGCTGGTGGTTCTGGCTCAGCTCTTCTGAGAGGCTCTTGTTCACCTGGGAACAATTCCCCACCCCACTCGGAGTCATGGCTCCCCTCCACCAGGGCTATGGGGATCACCTGGCTGGGATCTGTCTGCTCCAGCTAGCCCCCAGGCCTTTACCCGTGCACGCCCCTCTTCCCAGAGCCCCTGATCTCATCCTCTGGGACTCAGTTCTTTTAGAAGTCCCCCTTGGATGCCACCAGCACACACAGGTTTCTCCAAACCCCAGGCTTTAAGGCTGGGCGGTACCTGGCTGCACACCAGCAGAGGGTGCTGTTTCAGAGGTTCCAATGCCAATGGTGCTCGCTGGAGCTGTGCTGTGTGGAGGCCCTGCTCCAGTCTGTCCCTCCTGGTCATTCTCTTTACCATGGTGTCCCAAGAGCCCCTCACCCAACTTAAGAATCCCCCAAGGACAGGGCCCAGGCTCCCCTGCTTCTCTGCCCCCGGCACAGGTGGACGCAGCTTGGCTCACTCAGTTGGTGCCTTGGGTTCCCTGTAGGGCAGACCCTGCCGGCTGTCTTGACCCACTTGGGTGAGCTTCAGACGCTTCTGCAGGAAGGTTGTGTGTGTCCTGAGCCTGGCGGGGGTCTCACAGGCCCCCATGAGACACCTTAGTTCCCATCCCAGCTCTGCTCCTGGCCCTGCAGGCCTGGCACCAGCATCTCTTACAGAAACACTCATCCAGGACCTGGGGCCCCTCCAAACTCCCAGACCACACTGTTATGACCCTGAACAAGCTCTTCCCTACCCTGTGCTCTCTGTTTTCCCATCTGAACCAAGAGGGAAGTCAGCTGGATGACTGTAGGGTCTCCCCAAATGGGTCCCTCTCTGGGCTGAACAGAGGCCCCTGCACTGCCCTCCTTCCCCCGCTACTGCTCCAGGAATAAAGACCAGAGAAGGAGATATAGGGCAGGGCCAGTGTTCAGGGTCCTGCCATGCAACCACTTGGAGAGGGACTACCCCGGGGGACTCTAGGCTAAGGGGCTGTCAGCTCATCTGGTCCAGACACTTCTGGGCCTTTTCCACTTCTGCCTGCAGTAGCAGGTTCCTCTGGGCAGAAAAGACTGTCTGCCCATCCTCTCTCACTTGGCCCCTCCCCCATCAGCTGGCACCCTCACTTGTCTTTTATGTCCTGGTCTGGCCTCCTCCACTCCTCCTGTCCCTGGGACCCCTACAGCTGATGCCTCTCCTGCTCCAGGTGGGCCTGGGAGTATTCTACCTGCTGGGGGAAGGGCTGAAGACCTCATGGGGCCCCTGGAGAGGACTGCTTCTCCTTCCCCCAGGCACAGCAGTGCCTGTGGATTCTGATACAGCAGAATCCTTTATCATGAGGCCCTGTCTGCTCCACCAGCTGTGATAAGCCCAGCCAGGGGCTCAGCTGACGGCCCAGCATGAACATGTGCCCTGGCTTATACATAAGAGACAACATCCCACAGCTCTGAGGGGCTGCCCAGCTGTTATCACTACAGCCTCCAGATGTGCATCTCTCTTCCTTCAGCTGGACCTGAGATACATTACCTCTCCACCCCAACTGCTGATGGCTTTGGAGCTCCAGCAAGATCAGGGATGCTGTTATGGAATGCTGGAGAGCAGGCAAGCATGAGGAGACAAGTTGTCCATCAATCACCCCAGGGAGCAGGGGCTCTAGGAGTCAGCTGTGGGCTGAGACCCCCAGGTCAGTAAAGGCTTGGATATCTAGGGTATCACAGGGTGGCGCTGTCCACACTCTGACATGGGGCAGAAATGCTGGTTACCTTCCCTAGGAGCCTCAGCTTGGTTAGCTCTCTCTCTCCCTGGGGATTGCAGCTTTCACCAGGAGGAACTGGGCTTCTGGGCAAACTCTTCTGTGCATTGAGCTACAACCAGCCACCTCCCTCCCTCTGACTCTCTCTGGGGGTCACAGGGACCCTGGTCTTTCCTTCGCCTCTATCCAGTGCCCCTAGACACACCAGGCAATGCACTGCACACCTTCGTGGGGCACCATTCACAGAGATGACACTGTTCAGCACGGCAGCCCTGTTGGAGACTCGATTCCTGTCTCCTTTGGATGCTCCAGACCCTGACGAGCCTTCTTCTGGAGAACATGACACCAGATGTGGGTGCCAGCCCTGAGCGTTTGGGAGACTTCAGCCTGGTAAGGGGAACTTGCTAGCTCAGGGAACCTCCCTAGGGTTCCCAACAAGCCAGGAAGATCCGGGGGAGAGGATGGGAGCCTCACTTTCTGCCTCAGAGCCAGTAACTCACGGCAGGCCCTGCCGAGCCCCTGTGCTTGCTCCAACGGGCCTCCAGTGCCACTCACAGGCAGCCGGCCAGCTCGGCCTGCTGCCAGCCACACCCACAGGTCCTTCTTTAAAGGCTTCCAGTTCCGGGTTCTGTCTGAGCACCTGCTAGAGAGAGCACCTGCCAGGCTTCGGCCTGGGCCCCAGGGGCTGCCATGCCTCCCTTCCCCACACTCACCTGCACACTTCACTGCAGCTGGGTGGGCAGGCACAATGTAGTGACCGGAAGTGACAGGAGTGCCGGGACAGCAGGAAGGGCCTGCACCAGGTCCATGGGGCTCTGAGTCAGTGTGTCCTGAGAACAAGATGGATGGGAAACCCTGAGGCCCCTCTGATATGGAAGCTGAGGCCCTGGGCTGAGCAGGCACTTAAACCCTCCAGCTCAGCCTCTTGGCCCAGGAGTTTCACTAGTAATTCAGATTTCAAATAAACACTAGTCTCAGCCCTGCTAAACAATTCTCAGTCCCAACTTTCCATGAGCTGTGGGTGCTGTGACCCAGCCACGTGCTTACCAACAAGCTCATTTGGGCCTCCCTAGTTTGGGAAGGTGGGACTGAAACTCAGAAGAGGACATCAGTTGCCCCAGGTCAGTTGCAGGGAGTCAGTCAATTTTGAAGTAGGCTCCATCCCTCCTCCTCTCCTCCCCAATGTGCGAGTCTGGAAATGCAAGGTCAGGGGAACATTTGGGGGACATGATAGTTTGGCTCTGATGTGGGGCGTCGGAAGCCCTCGAATGTCACTGCTCTGATACCTTGGCTTCCATAGCTCCAGCTGTGAGATGGGGGCCCTGACCCCCATGCCCTACAAGCCTGGTAAGGGAACTCATGAGGTAGACAGGAGCTGCTCATTATTCCTCCTTATCCCCCCCCCCCACTTCGGGCCTCAGAATCCTACCACTGTCTCCCTACCCACACCCCAGGAACCAGGTACCTTGCCCCAGCTCTGTGTGGGCACAGGAAGAGGGTACCCACTGAGGAGAGGATTTACTGGACTGAGACCACCTGTCCCGACTGACTTGCCCACTCCTCACATTCCCAGACCTGCTCCCTGTTCAGGATGGCACCATACCCACCATGCCCTTCCTTCTGGACACCTCGACTCTCTCCTCTCCCAACGCCAGGCCCTTATTCTTGCAGCCCCCTCCAAGCTCTCTCCTGTATTTCACCACCACATAAAGGCCTCTCCAAAATGAACCGAGGACTCCACTCTGGCTGGGTGCTGTCTTCCCACTCAGAAATAGGGGCTTCCATGGGCAGCCCCAGCCCTTACTGGGACCCCAAGCTCTGCTTGGCTTGGTTTTGGAGGGGCTCATGGTCTGCCAGGTTACTGAGCTTGCAGAGCTGGCAGAGGACAGCACAGGCACCAAGTATCATGGGAGCACAGGGAAGGAAGCCAGACTGTCCAGAGAGGTGACCCTGGGGTTGATTGAGGCTTGAAGGCGAATTAACTGCCCTCAGAGAAGGCGAAGGTGGACGTGGCAGACAGAAGAGAGAGAGAGAGCAGCAGGACAAGGAGGGGGGGTCAGTGAAGCTGGGGCCTGGAGCGGATGGCGGGCTGCGCCAGGAGCCCAGGGGGGCAAACAGGACATGGAGGGGCAAGAGTTGCTGTGGGCACAGGTGGCTGAGGGTTGAGGCCTGGGGAGAGCTTGGGCCTGAGGGGCATAAGATGTGCAGCGAGCCTCCTCTGAAGGTGGTCCTCCCACTGAGCTCCCCAGGTCTCAGTCGTCCAGCACTAGAGAAATGAGGTGAAAGGGTGGGGTCGCGGTGGGCGGAGTTACCCAGATTACCTCAGGGCGGATCTTTTTCTACGTGCCTGAGACTCTGCCTCTGCGTTCTTCTAGGTGTGAGTTCTTTTAGGAATTAAGAGCCAAAAGAATGAAGCTCTAATAGACTCAGGCACGGCAGCTGCTGGGCCGCAGATTTTGGCGAGGGAGCGGGCTCCTATTTCACTTTAGAAAATGGGAGAGCATCTTCGTTACTGAGAGGCAGGGACTCCTGGGTTCTCTATGGTGGTAAGATGGACCCGACTTAGCCCTCAGAACCTGGCGCCTGAGGCAGGGCTGAGGACAGGAGCCTCTCTGACCTCCAGTGCTCTTGCGGCCCTGGCTTCCAGGAGCCCTGGAAACGCAGCCACACGTAGCGGTGGGAGGAGCAGGCACCAGAGTCCTCCCACCTCGTGTGCGTGGATGACATCGAGATGAAACTCAGCTGGTGTGGCCGCGGCCACAGGTCAAGCACTGGGCCCCGGCGAGAATGGCATCTCAAAATCTCCGGCACCGGGCAGCATACTAAGGGGGTGGAGCCTAGAGGCGGGGATAGCCGGGCTTGAAGAGGCTCCAGAATCTCTATAATGGAGGGCGGGTGCACTTGGTTGGCAGGGGAGTAGGAGCCGGTCTTGAGGCTGCCTTGGCATAGCAGGCGTCCCGTTTTTACTTCGGATGTAGGTGGTGAAGCTAACAGATTTGGGGTACCAAGCATCCCCTCAAGCCACCAGTTTAAGGGACCCCAGTTTAAGGGAGAGCCAGACACCTAGGACTAGAGGGGCCTCCGCAACTCCGCTGTGGATGGCTCCGCTCGGACCGCGCCTGGGGGGACCCCAAGCTCTGCAAGACGGCACCTTGCTTCGGGGGCGTGCCCAGTCCTCACTGGGGAGGAGGCGTGACGCGGGCGGGGCCGGGGAAAACCCTGGCTACCCCCGCGGCGTGACTCCAGGGAGGGGCGGGGCCTTGAGGGATGCCTCGCCCCTCCCGTTCCAGCCCTGGCGTGGCAAGGAAGCAATTAGGGGCCCCGCCTTCGGGCTTAGCTGAGAACGCCAACGGAAACCCGGGGTCGTGCTCGCTCACAAACCATGAGGTCTCCCAAAAAGCCCGACCTCGGTTTTATCTGTAAAATGGGGCCTCGTTATCCAGCTCCGACCAAGCGCGGGACAGCAGGTGGGAGGGTTTTGTTGATCCAGTGGTCGTCGAGTAACTCCGAGAAGTGGTCAGGGGGGCCCGACCACAGTAGGGCGCGGGATCTATTAACTGAGAAACAAGGCACTTGCTGCGGTGCTCCCAGAAAAGGAGACTCCGCCTACAGGGCTCTCGGGCGTCTCCTCACAAACCGCACTGCGTGCCCACCGGCGCTGGGCGTGCCGCCATGGCTTTACCGCCCCCCCCCCACACACACAGAATGTGGTCTTTTTTGCTTCTTTCACGTAAGCACGAATCGCGACCGCCTTCACGAGCCTCGGCGCACAGACCTCCGTCGGTTTTGGCGCCCTCCGGGGCCCTGGGCCGGACAGGAGCTCGAGGCCAGCCAGCTCTTCACTGAGGCGACCGCGCAACAATGCCCTCCTCCCTGCGCGCAGGAAGGGGTTGGCGGGCGCAGACGGGGTCGTGGTGGCAGAGCGGGCGGAGCCCTCCGGCAGGGTCGCAACTTCACCTTCCGACTCCCAGTGCCCGCCAGTCGCCCAGTCGCGTCTTGGGGGCCTACGTGAATCGCGACACGGCGGCGGGCGGGACTGGGACGTCCCCTAGGCCCTTGCGGAAACAGTCTCCACAGAGGCCGCATTGATCGGGGCGGAGGAGGCGGGTCGTCCAGAGCCTTCGAGTCGGGAGCTAGAGCGGCCAGGCCACCAAGCTGGGCTGGCGACCGCTGCGTCACGCGGGGGGCGGGGTCACCGCGGGCGGAGGCTGGAGCCGGAAGCGGAAGAGGCGCTCGGAGCGGAGAGTGGGGCCTAGCCGCAGCCTGAGCCTGGGAGACGGTGAGTGTAGTCCCGGTCCCGCGGTGGCTGCAGCGGGGGTGAGTCGGCGGGGTGGGGGCGCTAGTTGCTGGTCCCCAGGCCCCGGCGTCGGTCTCGGCCTACTCTCTTTCTCCTCCTCGGCCACCTCAGGCCGCGGCCCCGACCTCTCACCCCTGACCCGCCGCTTCTCCCCCGGAGGGTGGTCACCGCAGACCCCAACCTCTCGATCCCTTGGTGTCGGGAGTCCGAGCCTGAGAAGCCTCTGAGCCCCCTGCAGGGATGCGGTTTTGGCCCCGCACCTGCCCGCGGAATGGAGTCTGGAACTACCTAGACTAGCCAGGAGGGGCCTTCAGACCCCTCCCCACCCTCGGCTCGAGGCTTGGTCCGCAGGCTCCTCCTCCCCGCGCGTCTTGGAGTTTGATTCTGGCCCAGGCTTGCGTTCCCGCTGCACCCCGGCTCATTCCCTCGCCGCCATTGGCGGCGGTTACGGGGAACGGGGCTCTGGGATCTCTGGGACCCGGGGCTTCAGGAAGGGTCGCGAGCGAGAGCCACAGGGCCCCGCATGTTTTGTTGTGATGATGGAGCCGCTCCAGCCCGGGGGAGGGGCCAGGCCAAGCTGACAGTACAAATGCCCGGGCTGCTCTGGGTCGGGGAGTCTCTGCTTTAGTTCCGGGTGTGGGCGCCCTGGTGTGGAGCTGGGGTGGGAACTGCCTGAGCCAGGCCCCCGTCGAGGCGGAGTTGGCAGCCTTCCAGCTTTCCTCTTCCATGCCCTTGAGAAGGAGGAGCGTTTCACCCGGCCGTGGCGGCTTGCAAGGTGGCAGGTTTGAGATTGCAGTGGTGGAGCAGCGTCAGCCAAAAATAACCACGGGGCGCTCGGGTGGCTGGGATTCGGGCGGGCAGCCGCTGACCTGGCTGGCTGCTCTTCTTGTCGGTCCAGTTCTCTGGCCAGGAACAACAAATGAGAAGCCGACGAGGCCTGTGCTCAGAGGAAGCTGGCACCCCCTGCCCGGTTTCCTTCACAGCTTTTTCTTCATTGTGTAGAGCAGAGCCTCCTGAAGCATAATTGTGGCCCTCAGCTTCTAGCTTCTTCAAGCAACCCTTTTGCTGGGGTGTCCGAATAAGAGATAAGTGATGAGAAATGGGCCCTAGATCCCTGGCTGGGAAGATAATGAGGGGCATCAGGTAGCCCCAGTATTTCACCTGCCTAGACTGTGTTGAAGGGGAGGCTATTTTCTGTGATTGCCTTGTGTACGGTACTTTATAGCTTGTCATCTGTGCCAAGTTGGTGGGGAGGTGTCGTTATCTCCATTTTCCAGGTATGGTAACCAAGGCCTAGAGTGGCAGTAAGTGGCAGCACTGGGATTTAGTTCAGGATTTTCTACCCAGAGCTCTCTCTTTCATGGTCCCTTGGAAGGGACTTACTAAATGTCCTCAGTGCCGTCAAGGCATTTAACACAGACCCAGAGGTGTTACCTGGAACCTTTTTAATGTTAATGAAAAGCTGCCTTCGGTACCTCTTGTGGGCCCAGACTGGTGCTAGGCATTTAATGTGAAGGCATGTGCTAAGCATGTTACTTAAGGAGTGACAATCCAGTCCTCACAGAACACTAAGACTACTATCCCCTTGTTGCAAGAGGAAGCTGAAGATATAAGAGTAGTTTAATAATTTGCCTAATGGTACACAGCTAGAAGTGACAATGCCAGAATTCAGACTGACATTTATCTGACTCTGAAGCTGTTTTCTTTCCGCTAATGTGAACGTAAGAATCTTCTAGGTCCCAGAAGGGATTCTTTGACCATGTCCTCCAGCTCTGGTGCTTTTTCTGCCCGGTGAGGCTGGGCTGGGCCTCTGTCCTTGTCATTTAATGAAATGTGAGATACTGCCTTCATTCCATAGCTTGGGCACCTGACCTAGGGTAATTGTAGGAAAACAGTGAAACATTAGTCAGCTGGTCATCAACACAACAATAGTCCAAGTACTTGAGGAGCTGTGCCGGTGATCTTACATATTATTTATCTCCAAGGATTGCTGGGGCCTGGACTTCCAGGTAGACAAGGGAAGACAACTGTTCGTGGGGCAGTTGAGGGCAGTGACTTTCTCAGGATCACGGAGAAATTCCCAGGGGTTTGGTCAGATATGCCTCACTGCCCTGCCCATCCAAGGGGAACCATTCCATTCTGCTCTTCTGACAGACCCTTCTCATGAAATGGGGCAGTCTCAGTGGGTTTGTCCAGGCAAGCCCAGGACCGACCACCACTGGAGGTTGGCTATGGCCAAGTGAAGAGTTGGGAGTAAGGCAGGCCACGGTCTCTCGCCCAGCCTTCACATGGAGGCATTGTCAGGGTTTTGGGTGTGGGTGGAACAGGGAGCTGGCCTCACGTAGCTCTCTCAGCTGGTGGCTGATCCAGCCTGGCCATTTTCTGAGTGGATATAAGTCCCCGCCGAGCAGGGATAGTGAGGTGGGGCCCTTTTGGCCTGCCTCCCCGAGCATACCAGCCTGTGACGGGCACAGCAGAAGGGACCTGGAGCAGGGGCTAGGAGAGGGGAGAGCAGCAGTACTGTTGGGTAGAGGTGAGGCACTGCCTGGTAAGGCTCTGCAGATGGTCCGAGGGTGATAAATGGGCTTCAGGTAAGGTATTTGGATGCTCTGAGGACCCTGGCGTCTTCATGGTGCTGAGCCCAAGTATGGACCAACAGGGGCTGGCCAGAACCCCACGTCTGGGGAATGTTTGTGAGACCCTGTTCACCTCTTTCTCCAAGAGCTGGTCTTCACATTTCTGCCTGTAGCTCCTCACCCCAACTTATAGTCCTTGCTTCCTTGAGCGGGGCCCACTTCAGGGCCTCCTCAGGCAACGGGGCTTCTCAACTTGAGCGCTTTCACCCCTTGTTCCTGTGTGTTGGTGCCCTGCCAACAGTTGTCTGACTCTGGCCTCTGGCCTGACAGAGCAGGCACTTCATAGGACCCCACAGACCGGCAGGAGGGAATTGAGCACACAGGGCTCCCCTGTCTCCTGGTCTCCTGTGGTGCTGCTCGACTGACTCCTCCCAGTGTTCCGCCTCAGCACCTGTGCTGGCTCGCCTGGTTCCCCCAGTGCTCAGGCCACCAGGCCCATGATGCTGTGCGGGAAGGGGGGGGAGGGGGCAGCTGTTTGTTTGTTCACTGGCAGAGAAGGGTGTACCCATTGTCAGCTCTTTGACCAGTGTGACCTCAGAGTTCTTCTTCACTTCATAAACCCCTGGGAGGGGCTGCCCCCAAACAGAACAATGGGCCCCTTCTTCAGGAGCGTCTAGGCTGCCCCGGCAGCCCAGTGGCCGGAGGTGGCTGGCTGCATGTTTAGTAGGACTTTCCATTTCTTGTGGCCTAGATGCATCACTGTAAGCGATACCGCTCCCCTGAGCCAGACCCGTACCTGAGCTACCGATGGAAGAGGAGGAGGTCTTACAGTCGCGAACATGAAGGGAGACTTCGATACCCGTCTCGAAGGGAGCCTCCGCCCCGGAGGTCTCGGTCCAGAAGGTGAGAGGGACCTAGGTCAGAAGGAAGGGCTCCTTCCCTCAGTTGGGTGGGGAGACAGTGTGCAGGCTGGTGGCAGCCCTGGGCTCTTTCAGGTGACTGCTGCCTCTGTCTTGCTGCACTGAGGTCACTGCCCTGTCCGCTTTGGGCTCCTCCCCGATCTCACCTGTATTCCCAAGCCCCAGTGTTTGCTACCATCCTTGCCACCCCTTCTTTCTGTGCTTGAGTCTTCCTTCTCCCTACACATTCCCCCAGTTTCTTGGCTAGCATCTCCCCTGCCAACCTCTGAGTCTTCCTCAGTAGGGATTCAAAATATAACCTCAGCCCTTTCCAGAGGTTGGCTCCCTGGTCCTGTCTTAGTCTCCAGACCATAGGGCGCTCTGGGACATTGGAACCCTCAGGGACGCTCAACCCTGCTCACCTTCCCCAGGACTCTGCCTCCTTTGGCACTGGCGGGGTGCTATCAGTAGCTGAGGTTCTGGAGGCTGGGCTTCTCTCTCTCTCTCTCTCTCTCTCTCTCTCTCTCTCTCTCTCTCTCTCTCTCTCT